TGAACTAAGCAGCCCCTAGTTAGATAACTACACACAGTGTCTTCTGTCGTGCTAGACAACCGTTGACAATACGTTGCCATTACATGGCTACTTTTTGTGATAGCCTGTTAGTCGACAAGAGAGTCTTGCGAAACCAATGCGAACAGTTGCAACCATCAGATCTCGATATCTGATAGCTCAGTTAGAGCTTTGAGGACTGTTGCAGGCTGAGGCATGGGTAATGAGAGAGGAGATATGAGAGCTGTGATCCATACGTTGAAGCCACTGACTTTAAAGGGTTATTTCAACGGTACAGGCATGCTCCTGAGTATATATGATGGGCTGGATCGGGGAGCGAAAAATCTTGCCCGAGATGTGCCGATCAGACATGAAATTTCGCGATCACAGAAGAAGATTCGCTCACTTGGGGTCTTACACCAGGACCTTCGGTCGGATAATATGCTGTGGGACGCCGAGCTAGAGCGGGTGTTGATCATTACTTTCATCGTTCCCAATTGGATAGCCGGCCGATGAAAAAGCGAATGAGGCTACGAGACCAGCACTCGTGTGGGGCCGAGGTACACGGGCGGAAGCGACTTCGTATTGGCCAATAGCTGCATGTGTCGAGGAACTTGTCATTCACAAAGCTTGGACCCAGATTTATAAGACAGTCAAGTTGAATAAATCGAGCTAACCATACAGAAATGCGAAGAGACACAAGATGACCTGACCTACTGCCCCCTAGCCCTCTTTGGGTGCTTTGACATTAGGGGCACTTCCGAAACGGCCCGTCGTTTACGTACTCTGGGACTATGGCGGAAGTTGGCATGATGGACATAGTGAGTGAGCAGCTGCGGAGCACGCTGTCTCAACTCGGAGTAGGAATGCCACTCCAGTTTGAGGCAAAGAAATTCCAAGTCACCCTCTTGAGTTGACCGGTGTGCAAGGACGCTTGTTACAGAATCGACTTGACTGCCTGATGGCTGCACGGGCATTGAGCCAGGGCAATCGAACAGGGTATCTGGTGTACTTGTTCAGCCAGCGGAAAATTCTAATAGTGAAGAAATAACATACTGGTCTCTGGAGCCCAGTTACTGTTTTGTTGAGCTGATGGAAATGCCATGCCATCGTTACTGTCAGAGCGACCATGGATATGCTCCCCGTCAGACGCCGCTTGTCCTCTACTCTCGCCTGAATGCCCTAGACCTTGTAAGTTTTTCGTCCATCATAGAGCATGGTTCAAAATACCTAAACGTATGCTCTGTACGGCGCTCTCCGTGTCTTCCACAAACGAGGAAACTGTTGAGGCACTTCCACCGTGGGTTGATCGCTGCACCGCCATATCGCCATAGGATGGAGATCCTCCCGCCAAAAAAGTTGGTGAGGCTGACTCGGAATGTCCTGAAATCGAATGTGTCTGGCTGTCATAGCAGACAGATCTCAGTGAGCGATGGCTGGGCGTTTCCGGGATGGTATCACCATCCACGTCATCCGGTCCACTAGCCCTGTCATCCTCGCAATCAATGAGGATGGGCCTACTTGCGGAACCTAGCATAGAATAGTCCTGCGGCCTTTCAATGGAGGTTCGACATTTGTGTCCGAAACCTTTTCGCCCTTCACAGGTACGGGCTGTCATTATGGAGGTACAAGATGATGTGGGAAGCAGCTCTCAAATGTGGAAAGTGGAAGTTGCATGCCAGTTAATCTCGGAGTCGGGGACTGGACTCCTTTTATACCCTTCTGGCCCTCTTCAATCCAGCGTGACATGGCATGGTTGCAGTTACTGTTACTCGCACTGCGCATCAGCAGGCACATACAACGAACAGCAATTGGCCAGATAGTGCTTCTTCGCGTCATGGGGCAGTGCTGCGGACATGGTATCGCCAGCTTTGAGCAGTTTCATGTGTGGCAATGGGCACCACTACCGCGGACTAGCAAGTGGAAATGCGAATGACCGGGCATATGCTCTGAGAAGGGCTCAGCCTCCGCGCTCCCAAGGGTAAAAAGGAAACATAGTAATACCGCATGACCGCAGCGGGTCGGGATTTGCGAGTGTAAATAGTCAGATACTTATGTCAATCCCCTTCGCAATGGTATAGACCAACACAGGTTAGCATCCTCTAAAAGTAAACGTGTGGGATATGGTATCATACGGGGAGTGCTGATGGTGAATGTGTAGATCTGGATGTGGGATATCAGCCCGAACTGGGATTCTAGGTTATGTTCGATCCATGTCAGAATTGTAACTCAGCGAATGACAAAGGAAACATCAGACCTGGCCAAAATGAGTGAATTCCACTTCGATAGGCCGTCGAGCTATGTACCATGCACCATCCACCTGCCTCGTATTGAAGTCAGACCGGGTCGGCCTATATTTATAAAGAAATAAAGAACGGGTCCAATGAAAAGGTGAACCTGCCAGGTCCGCTTAGTAGTTTGGCAGTCTGGGCTCTTTTCTTTTGCGGAGGGTTGTGGTTGATATCCATCGAAGACATGAAGACCTTGTCGTACATAATCTTGGGCACCGTATTTCGTAAACCATGATTCACCGCTAGGAGCCGTCCCATTTGCAGAAGGCCAGCTGATAATGCGGCGACATTCCAGGACAAAGCCATGAGGCCTACAGAACCCCTAGTGAACTGTTAGCGATCATGCCGTGTTCTCATATGTACCACCTAAGGGTCAGACTGGCACGAAATGACACCCAGTGAAAGAAATCTAAGGGCCACACAGCAGGACGCGGTACAGCAGCATGGTAACTGGCTGCAGAGATGGTGACAACCGACTTGATGTTTTGCAGGATGGCCGACACCTTCGACTTGCTAGCCGGTCGATCAGGAGAAGAGGCTGTTTCAAACTGACAGCACGCCTAGGCCAGGCACAGGAAGGCAGCACATGGAATAAGCATGACATGGTTAGATAAAAACACAATCAATACATTATACGGTATGTACACGAAGAATCTAACATGTTGGCAGTCGGTACAAAGAGAGCAAAACTATCATAGGAACCAACCGCGGAACAACAAAGTGAGGAATAAACGATCACACGATGATAACGTCACCCTTGTAGAAGAACGCAACACAATAATGCGAAAATAATATGCAAATTGAAAAGCCTTTTGAGGTTCAGGTAGACTACCAAGAGTCAAGCTAGGATAAGCATTTATGAGGAGAGAAAAGACGATGGGTTCCAGATAGGCCGGCGGGAACGTCAGGCTTTATATATATTTCCAAATCTTTCTCCCATATAGCCGTTCCTTCCATCGCCCGGTCTTTGACATGCTGCTGAACGATATTGGAAACACTGGTGCTACGCGACATAATATAGAAATCACTGTTGAGGGGCATTGATGTCTTCTTCCTCGGGCTGCGGCTTCTTTGATCAAAGAAGGGGCAGTAAACCCAACACGGCAATGCCATTGGACACGCTAACTTGAAATGGAGACTATGAGAGTCTGAGTGGATACAAAACCCGCAGCGAAGGGGACCATGGGGCAAGCCTCCAGGCGATCCTCTGCAGCGCTCCACAGCGCTCCTCAGCGACCGTCACTATTCCCCACCCGTCATGATCCACGGAGTGAGGCCCCCCTTCAGGGCAGTAAACATGCTAACATGAAACGGAGACACGAAGTTGGTGGATCACACAACCACCACTCCCCACCCCAGTCATGATTCGTTGAGGCTTTTTTCGGACTGGGCCCAGATCCTCGTCTCCCTTCAAGACAGCGACCCTCATGAAGTCTCCCAGCAAATCAATGTAGATTAGGTAAGTCGTCCTGAATCAAGACGACTTAGTAAACCGGGTCCAACCGCGCCTAGTTACGGCTACACTATCGCGAAAAGCATTCAAGAAACGCTCATCCTGCCATATTCGAGTTGTGTTAAACCACATCTACCTACCTCAGAGTCGGCTCGGGAGCGCTGAGATCGATCGGTCAGAATAAATCTCTTGTGCCAGCAAAATTTGTTGGAGCCGTAGTCTACCGGTCGCTGAAGTTACGATGTCTGAAACACGAGCACCATTATGCTGAAGCCTAAAGTGATTCTGATTGGTTTATATTTGCGACCAAATATAACTAGCGCCGAATTCTTGGTCATCTAGCGAATCATTTCTGCGAAACCGCTGAAGCGCTGTATACAAAAATAGGATTCTCTAACCAAATAGAGACTAGCTCTGTTGCTCTGAAGCCCCAGAAGCCACAAGCTTTGCGCGGACCATCTGTGTAGCGTTTTGAACCAGGTGTTCCATCTCCGTCTTCTAAGGATCAGGTTGTAGGTAGCGCGAAGGACCAAGAGTGAACTTCTCAGCATGATGTATCCATCTAAGATCCGGCGAATTTCAGCCGCAGTATATACATTTCTAAAGTCTCTAGCGAAATCGCCTTCACCAGCAAGTGTATCATGATTAAGTTTTTGGCTCCACTGCCAAGACTGTAGCATGAATTTTTAATTGAGCTGGTTAAGTTGATGAAAGACTCTGTAATATTTGTCATGTACGAGTCAGTAGTTACAGTGCATCTAAAATTACTCAAATCAACCCCACTTCGTTCCACACAGTTAATAGTCTACACATTCCCACTGCATTTGCTTCTCCAGCCAGCGAACATCTATTATCCGTACCACATAGCGCGCATGACACAAAATCTTGAACATCACAGGCCTGTGGGCAGGGCTTGGAATACCCAGTGCACAGTTCTATCGGACACAAGACGTCTCTACAATACGGTATATATATTCTCATTGCATGCAACTCAGCACGATAATCGTTACTAAGGTGTACAGGCCAGACAGAAGAACACTGCCAGCTGGACTCCTATATGTCCTCTTCCCCATGGCCAGGTGCCGTGGCTTTTATTCCGCGTCGAGGACTGCAGCAAAAGTAGTTTCCAAGAATTTTGCATGTGCGCACGGAAGACGGATTACAGCGGTGCGCCGACACGATCGGAATTTGATACTCATCTTTCATGGACAGAGAAACCAACAAGATTCTTATCTTTCTTCAGCAGCTGGAAGCGAGCAATGCATTGGCGAGAATTCTTAGAAGAGAAAGACCGGAAGAACCAAGTTAGAAGGTATTATATGGTGGTTGCCGTCTGGGCAAAGGACCTAGGCGACGTTTATGATGCAGAAAAAATTGCATTTGGACTAGAATACTCTGACCTAAGCCCTGACAAGCGGCGACAACTATGGCACCATCACTACGAATACCTCATAGAGGGTGGCATTGTGGATGTGTCTCGGGTCCTGGCTGTATTTAAAGGTGGGGGCGGTATCCGCAACATCACGTTCGAATGTCCCTATTACAAGTTCACAGCCAGAGTTCCTAGCGAATATTTGATTGGCAAAGGTTTAAGGACTCCGCTGGAGGACATCGAAGACGAAATCTATCGCCATACAGGTGTACACGATGCAGTACAACGCGATCAGCTTGTGAAGTCAATCAGCGGTGTGTGTGCCAAACACTTCTCTGACTACATGGTCAAACTGTGAATAAACAGTGACTAAATTATCACACGGTGTGTAGAAACGAAAATCTATCGTTGACAGAAGCTTCGAGTATCCAGCCCTTATTCATGAACCTGTTGAGACATCATGAAAAATGCATTGCCAAGATATTAAAACACAGTTAATGCGTTTAGCCAACCTCCAAACCGCAAGTTCATTATGAACCCCAGATTTGTGGATCCATCTTCTTTCACACTCTCTTCCTCCATGTCTCGAAGAATCTTCTCAATGTATTCACCTGCACCGCTAAGTTTCAAGATGAGCGCGATAGCACGGTGAACTTTAAGAAGTTTAGAGGAAGGTGGGTCTATAGTAAGGTTGGGGCTAAGAGTTAGAGTGCGAGAGACGGGGAGCAACCGATCACGAAGAATAGGGTCCCTTTCTGTCGACTTAATCACATATTCGTTGTATCTTCCTTCAATTTGCTCAAAGTATATCTCGAAATCGCCAAACAATTGATGGTAATGATGCGTTAAAGTCAAGGCATTTTTTGGGCTATCAATATTTGGACCATCGATAAGATGGCTAATACTGGGCTCAAACATAGCCAAGATTTGGAGAACACCTTTTTTCGATTCGCTCTGCAAAGTAATGTCAGTAGAGCGGTATAAGTTCGGCACAGGGAACCTATACCAGTTCTGTATCTCCGGAAGAGATGGTGGCTAGAGAATGAGGGAGTATATGAGCGACTTCTAAAAACTCGAGCTCACCAGATTCGTTCCGGAGGAGGTTTCCATCGTCATCTTTACACTCCACTCCCCTCTCTTTGATACGTTTCTGAGCTTCTTTTCTATCAAACCGGCGGGATACTACACAACGATGGTGGTCACGAATGAGACAATCCCGTCGGAGTATAGATACGCGCTGTGTTATGCCTGTAGGCGTGGACGCTTGGATTGACGATAATGAAAGGGGTGTAGGTTGCGGTGTCTTCGTCGATGAAGCCTTGACTGAACGACTTGAGTTAACAAGAAATTTCCACTATTAAGAATGTCATGAGTAACGTACGTGGGGAAAAGAAATGGTCGACCATGTAATCAGCAAAGCTTTCGATAGCGCTCTGGACTCTTATTTTCTCGTCCAAATCGAAAGTATCAAACTCGCCAAGATAGGCTAATATGAGAGAAAGATCTGACTCGGTGGGATTCCCCTTGTCCAACTCTAGACGTTCACGAATATATAAGAAGAAGAAGTTTAGAAAGGCATCCTTAGATTGTATATGTACGTGTTCAAAAGTTTCGTGTATCATTGTTGCGGGCAAGTAGCCCCTCTGCCCTGTTTGCTCTAGTCCATAATGCTCGACAACTTTGTACAGGATCGCATTAGCAGTCTTGCTTTGTTGTGCAGTTAGGGAGAAGGGTTCCGTGAAGTCCAAAACCCCTTCTAGTGAGGACTGATGTCGATGTAATGGCATCGTGGATAGCTTTGCTGTCCTGGAGTTCGGATGAGGCGTTCGGATACCCTCTGAACCCTCTCACGTGATGAAGGCGCGTTTTACTGGAATTATTGTCGGGCCGAACTCGATGGGAAAGGCTGGACCTTTGTACCGCACACTCGCCCTTTATTTCATCCACTTTACGATAAGTGAATAATGGCGCCAAACCTTGCTGTCTTACAACTCGAACTCATTCGGGACATGATCCAAAGTAACTCACTAACTACTTCTCAGATGGCTTACGTTGCTGGCTGCAGTAAGCGTTCTATAATTACTATCCGTTCCAACCTACGACTGTTTGGAAGTGTTAGAGCTCCTTCAAACGGTTTCCAGGCTGAAGGTTGTCCAGATGCTTCTTCTTCCGCATTGATCTGTAGGTCTCACTCATGAAGCATGCGCTGGGTGGCAGGTGAAGGGCCACGCTTATCTATAGCCCTGCGAGTAAGTGTGGAAGTATGGCTATTCTCTACATAGTTGAAAGAAATATTAAGTCTCAATTTCTTGCCTGCAAGAAAAAGATCACCCACGAAAGAAGCTGTTTCTCTATAACGGGCCAATCAATGTCGGTCCTGTCAAACCGTCGGGTCAGGTCATGCTGAGGGTGTCGAGTTACCGATACCACAATACTAGTGTCATCGGATTCAAGCCTTCGACTGGGGAATTTCCGGCAGAGCAATTCCTTCAACTTTGGCTCGAGAAATACCCGCCAGTGATACCTAGGGGCCAAAACCAGGTCTTGTTCTGTGTCCTTCACTACAGTCCTATTATTGAGGGTAACCTTCCACTCAATTGAATAGTGTATGCACGTTGGTGGATCTTCATCATATGACCGGCCCTCATCCCATTCACCGAATTGAAGCCAGAGAAGCGTAGCTCTGCTGAGGAGCTGCAAGAGGACGAGTGGATCTGTAAGAAACTCGAGAGTACGCATTAAAGTTTTCGGCGTCGGGTATTTTATTTCCGTCCTGCCTCCCATATGACCGTTCCTTCCGCTTCCCTGGTCTTCCACACGCTGCTGGGCGATATTTGAAACACTGGAGCTACGCGAAATAATATAGAAATCACTGTTTGAGGGGGGCATGGATGTCTACCTCCGTGGCAATACGACTCGGAAGGAGTATCTTAGGGCTGCGGCTCCTTTGATCAAAGTAGAGGCAGTAAACCCAATACGGCAATGCCATTGGACACGCTAACTTGAAATGGAGACTGAGGGCCTGAGTGGATATGAAACCCACAGTGAAGGGGACTATAGGGCAAGCCTCCAGGCAATCCTCTGCAGCGCTCCACAGCACTCCTCTGCGCTGTCACTGTTCCCCACCTGTCATGATCCACGGAGTGAGGCCCCCCTTCAGGGCAGTAAACACGCTAACGTGAGACGGAGACCACGAAGGGGTCAGTGGATCACACAATCAGTATGTCCCCACGATTCGTTGCGGTCTGCTTCGGACTGAACCCACATCCCCTCCCCTTCAAAGACAGCGACCCCTGTCCTTTTCATTTCTTTTCGGATCCAATGATTATCTCACTTACGGCTGTGGCGACACTCGCTGAAGCAATTACTCGTCACGCAGAGTTGGTATGACAAAGACCCTCGTTAAGCCTTCTACTAAATCAATGTAGATTAGGAGAGCGGCCCTGAATTAGGACGACTTAGTAAGCTGGGTTTAAGCGTAACGTATTCGGAAAGCGAGCGTTCCACGTAATCGAGCGTTCCACCCCTCCCGAATTCCACGCACCCTAAATAATCCGACGATTAGGACACTGATTAACTTTATGCCCTATAATATTACAGCCAAAGCACCCTGGCGGAGGGCGTACGCACTGGCTTTCTACCGGAGCGTTTATATCTACTGAGGCAGTAGCTATAGGCTCTACAGTGGAAATCCTGCCTTTTATAAGCTTCTGAGCTTCCTCAACTGAAGCGCCTGCTTCTATAGGAATCTTTCCAGTAAAGCGCTTTTTCTTTTAAAGCATTCTTTCACGCGCAGCGCGTAGTTCCCGACTTCCTGCCTTTCAATGGTAGCCTCATTCAAAGCTCGTTCACAGCCTTTGACAGACTGCTTTATTATAGTCTTTGTAGGTGAGTCAGGGCTCTTTCTACGAGCTCTAAGCAGCTCCTTCAGCGTAGCGTACTGTTTTTGTAGTTGCTTTAAATTATAATATATTTTATGCACTGAATTAGTAGGTACACTACTTGGTTTACACTGAAGCTGAAAGTGATTCTGATTGGTTTATATGAGCTACCAAGTGCTCCTAGCACCGAATTCTTGGTCATCTGACGAATCATTCTCGCGAAACCGCTGAAGCGCTGCAGACAAAAACAGAATGGTCTAACCAAATAGAGACCAGCTCCTTTGCTATGGTATAGCCCTCGCAATTGTTTCCTAAGTCGCCTTGGGTCAAGCAACCGGAGATGATGGCGAACGCTCCCCGAGCTGGGGTAAGATATCCTCAATTGTCTGATGAATTGGAAGGGGATAGGAATATGCCTAGGGTGCAAGTTAGATAGTATATAAACGCACTATTACGGTGCATACCAAGCTCGGGAGTGTCTTTAGCCACGCCTCCTGCGATGATGAATCAAAAATATACGCCTGACCGGTTTTCCGGATCCTAATTGCGACAACCACGTCGGATTCGCACTCCAGGCTGAATTCTGCGGCTTTCTTAAAGAGGCTACTCTTACGTCGCTGACGTTGTTGTGATTTTGCTCGACTGCTCTCTGAGTACCGTTTTTTGATCCAGGAAGATTTCTTAACGTTCTTAGACATTTCGGGCTTCGCAAACATGGCACCGTATAGTATGCTGTTCTGGGGCCCAAGAAGTCGTGCGATCGAGGGTTCTTAAATATTTTTGCCTTGGGATATGGTCATACTAATTGACTGGAACTTACATAAGAAGCTCTCGTTTGTCTGCTGATGGTGCCTTCCTTCAGAGCACTTCAGCGCGGGATGTCCTCATCTATACATGTAACTTCATGTACTATAAAAGCTGTCTGCTTGCATGCCCTCCTTCCCTCATCCATGTTTCCTTGTTCCTTTAACCGTCTCTCATTTTCGCAGCATGGACCCGTTAGCCATTTATGCTATTACCGCTGGCGGTATTTTTGCTGTACTTTTCTTAGTGCGCGCCCTCTCTCTCCTTGCTAGCTGTGGACATTTGTTTTCTCTCGTTGTGTCTCAACATCTGACGCTACCCTTCGTCATTCGTAGGCATCGGTTCTTGGGTCCATGGACCAGAGCTGGTGTGTTTCTCCATTTATCATATGCTGCAATTAACGTTTTCCTTGTCTCATTCAGAATCACGTCGTTGACTGGCGCTGGTCGCCGGGCTGGAGAGCTGGCGCTGGTGAACTTGGTTTTCCCTTTATCAACTATCCACCTAGCTTACCTGGCGGACCTCCTTGGTATCAAATGGAACTCCTGTCGAAAGATCCATCGTGCTACTGGCTGGATGGCTGTTGTCCTGCTATCATTTCACATTATCACAGCGTTTCAGGGTCAGGGCTTTACATTCCCACTCCGCGAACAGCAAAACCTTTTTGCTATGATTGTATACCTAATAACTCCCGCCACTCCGCTATAACTAACCTCTGATAGGCTGCGATCTCCCTGGGTTCACTTGCCCTGCATTCAATTCCCTGGTGTCGTCACTGGTCCTACGAGATCTTTCTTCGAGGACATCAGATCCTTGCCGGACTCTTCGTCTACGGGGCTTGGCAGCACCTCCCTTCACAGAGCACCTCTTCAAAGATCTATCTCTTAATTGCGCTGGGGACTTTTGCGTTGACTTCACTCTTAGAGCTTATGACCCTCCTATATCATAACGGTCTCTTCGCAGGCCGTGGTACTCCCAGGGCTATCGTGTCATTCAGCGCGAGCGAATCTAAAGAAGGCCCTGTGGTCAACGCTGTCCACATTCGTGTTTTGTTGCCTCGGCCAGTGAAAGTAGAAGCTGGACAGTATATCAATCTCTGGATGCCCTCAGTCAGTCTATGTTCGTGGATGCAGACTCACCCTCTCACGGTTACATCGTGGTCCAAAGGCAAGCAAGATACCGTGGAGCTTCTAGTAAAGCCACGCAGTGGTTTCACTGCGGATCTTCTTCGCTATGCCCCTGCTGCTGCGGGGAGCTCAGTCTCTTTCCTGGCTTTGTTTACTGGTCCTCATGGAGTGAGTGAGGAAGCTAGTGACTATGAGAGCATTCTAGTGTTGGCCAGAGGACCTGGGATCGCCGCGGCCATTCCATGCCTAAAGAAAATGATTCACAGTTACAACACCTGCACCTCCCAGGTTCGCCGGCTACATTTAGTATGGCAGGTAGAATCTGTTGACCAGATGACCCCCGCATTGTCTCTAATCAATAACCTCCTGAAGGATGATATCATGGATGGCGGCTATGTTAGTATTCGTTTGATGTTCGGAGATTCTACCTATGGCTGACACTAACGATCATTTTAGATACTGCATATCTCGATTTACGTCAGCGACGGTATTGAGCAGAATGGATTACCATTCGGCAGACATAAGCGAGTTTATATTTATCAGGAAGTGCCTGATTACCAAAGCATCATTTCTCTCGAGGCATCCGGCGACCAGGTTGAGAGACTGCCCAACACTTGGGATGAGCAAGGTCGGACACTAGTGATGGGTAAGGTTCCCAATTCCCATGTGAGATACGTACTGACCGTCCTGGCTAGTCTCTACAACAGACGACCTTCGGGATCACATACAGAACGTTGTACGAGAGTGCCTGCACCAGGGCGTAAAGCTTTCAGAATTAGAGTATCAGCCCAGCACTGATTAACCTCAACAAGCTGAGTTGAGGCCGTTGAGAGCACTTCCGGGTCAACAGAAATGGAACGTCTTGTCACAGTGGATGCCTTCAAAGCCTTTTTTTATCCCTTCCTTTCTTTTTTATTCTTTCATTTTAGAACAAAGGGAAAGAAAGGAAAAGAGAGAAAAAAGGCAGGAGTAAGAGCAAAAAAAAAAAAAAAGCTTAGAGAAGAAAAAAGAAGAAAAGAAAAGAAAAGAAAAGAAAGAAGAAAAGAAAAGAAAAGAAAAGAAAGAAAGAAAGAAAGAGCCGAGAGCAAGAGTAAATTATAAAAAAGCATAGAGAAAAAAAATAAAATAAAAATAAAAACAAAAAAAAGGGAAAAAGAAAAGGGAAGAGCAAAGACTGGTAGCCTCCAGATACTGTATGACTCAGGCAGCAGTTTTGTGGAGAGAAGGAAAGGGAATACAGGGGAACGATCTGTTATTTTTGTTTTAATACGGAATTGTGCCTGAGCCTGGATCTGCAGGAACCGATCAGTGACGGCACTCTTAACGGTGGGGCCAACACAAGCAAGTCATCAAACTCATGGCCAAGGGCCACGATTTCTTGACAAAGACCATTGATTCTGCTCCCAACGCTCTCTTTCTTGAACATTTTTAGCCATTTTGCCCATCTTTACAGTACTCACCTTTCTGAGACCGATTTTGGCTCCTCCTCCATATAAATAGAAGTTACTTCCCCCCTTTTTCCACGATGCTATCCTCTTCCCCGCCCTCTGCTTTCCCTCTTCTTTCCGACCGAACATCACTTCCGTAATAGCCTCTGCCAAATTAGCGCGACCCACCGCTCTTCTCCTCTTTTAATTATCCCACCCTCTCTGCGGCTGGCCCGCTGAGATGCCATCTCTTTCTTTCTGCCTTCCTGTAAGTGCACCCTCGTCCGTGGTTCCAAACCGCTCACATCTCGCGTCGCAGATTCATCCGACGGAGGTGCTTAGTTTGGATGAGGACACTTGCTCTGATGTCAGTAGATTACCCTTAACCTTCATTGAAGTGGATACTCACGCTAGTCAAGTTGGTCAACCGGTTTGGTAGGAATTTGAGAAAGTTACTATCGCTTTACGTGGTACAGAGTTCGAGCGTGTTAGAAGGAGCGAGAAAAGGGGGCCATATTCGATGGCACATCTTAACAACACAGGCTGGGCAATCATCGAATGCTCGGGATGGATGTCTGAAGACATATGATGTGTCGGTTACAATAGACGTGAGTTTGGTATTTCTCTGGGGCTTGCCTGACTACTCACTGTCTGTCACAGCAATCAGTGCTAGGGGTAGTTCCCCATGTTCTAGACGACTCGGAGCTTAGCAAGGTGAGTCCACTAGAACTAATCATGGGTATATTCTTACCTTGTGATAGCTTGGCCGGGCCCTCGGGGATGATTTTGACGATATCCGGAAACTGGGCTGGGTCCAGTTAGTCGGGGTTCTTCAGTGGCTTCAGGAGGCCAAGATGATCGAAGGCTTTAGGGTGCAGGAGAACCAAACAAAGGCTGAAGTGAACACGCTAGGATTATTAGGCTTGTGCCCATCTCTATCTTTCCGCTCTTATTCAGTCTAACCATGTATTGATCCCATAGGAAGCTATAACACAGACCTTTCGCTCTGCACACCACCTACTTCCATTGACCCTTCCTTACTAACTAGCGATCACGCATTGTCGAGCCCCGAGAACCTTCGCCCCCACGTCGTAGACGAGCTGGATCAGATATGGGAACAAATCATAGCGCTACCGGAAGACCTGAATACCGCCGAATTCGCTACCCCGGAGCACGTAGCGACACCCATGGATGCGGGGACGTCTCGCATATTCGATGCTTTAACTTATCCGACACCCCTTCCCTCTGTCAATTCGCCTCAAGTGGGTCGGTCGGTAGCCCCGACAAGCCCTGCTGACAGAATAACGCAGTACCGGTCCGTTGCTGCCCCATTTTCGATTGGTAGCCCTTGTTCGTCCCTAGTAATAACACCCACGGGGCCTGCTACGCCTCCTGGGTCTGATACTGAGACTTCATGTTATCCGACCCCATCTACATCTTATTCTCAACCTCCTCTAGCGGTAGAGTCACTCACGCCTCTGAGTCCTGATATTCCGAGACGGAGAAAATCCCGATGCTTAGAGTTGTGTATATTTGGGAAAGACGGCACAGAGCTCCTCGAACAGAGTAAAATTACGCAAATCCTCGAAGCGGAAGCTGGACTTCTCGCACAGGACCCTCTCAGACCGCTGCAGCCCTTTCTAGGACTCGGCGAAGCAGATACATGTTCCTCATTAAGCGCACTCGGACTTCCTGTTATGTGGATGGGCCAAGAAGGGGCTGTTAATTACTATAAACTACTTGAAGCCGTGAAGGACAAAAAAATTGTTCTTCACCCCTTCGCGAAGCACATAGCGCAAACTTTATTTTATCTCAACTACAAGTGGTTGGAGAAACACATGAATCAGGGTAGGGTCTCTGTTGCTACGTTAATTCTTAACACCTGCTCTGAGGAACCATCAAAGTCTCGTCGTGACAATATCACCACCTATCATGTGCGGCGAGGAAGAATTTGTTGGACGCTTGCAGCGTGCTTGGGCGCCGGTATCTTGTTGCATGGTGGTGATGCCATACACATTATGTATGTACTCCGGCGACATCCCTTTCGTCAACTAACCCAGACCCGTAGTATCAAGGATACTTTCAGTGTCAGCCAACTAAATGTTTTTATATCCTTTGTCTTGCGCACCGGCCGGGTAGCGTTCGCCTTTTTCATTTGCTGGAACCTGTGGTAAAGGCAATCATACAGGGCGTGCCTGCAGTTGAGCTCCACCCGGTTGTTCTGGCTGATAATAATGTCCTTGTCAGACAAGAGGAACTAACGCATGCCTATGCAGCGGACCAGGAAGCCTTGATAGACCAGACAACGGAAGAGACATGGCTGGCAATAAATGCCGAGTCTATTGCAAAAGAGAAAATGTCTGAGTTTCTTCCCAATTTCTGACCGTACCATCCTGATTTCGCTGCTTCTGTGTTTACTTAGCGTAGTGTTCCTCCTTTCCTGCATAATATGTTTTAATTTAACCGGTTTGAAATTATACGAAATGCTACTTGCTTTCGCCCTGATAAAGTAACTAAAAACATCCAGGACATGTCCTTGTCTTCTATCTCGTTTAATTTTGGATCCATGGTTTCGTGATAAAAGTGCGTGTAGTGATAAGGCAGAGACGGGCAAGCCCGACTAGCGTGCCTGCAGACCAGCGGTGCTTCGTGAGTAGGGAATGCTGTTTATTCGTAAGATACCGATTATCAATGTAGATAAGATGTCCAGCTGACCTTTCTTAAGTCTTGGATGGTTGCGACCGATGCCGTTGCTGACAGAAACTCTAATGAGTCAGACTGCCAACGGGTACCGTCAATCCCAATCACACCATCAGGCTTCAGATACTTCTGCATAAGAAACATTGTGATATTTGCTAACGATCGGAGAATCTGCGTCTGAGATTGTTGTGGCTCGTGTTCGATACAGTGCTCTAAAGCCCCTATGCAAGACCATAAGCAAAGAGGAAGAATAGGTGTGGGAACGATCTGTACCAATCTGAATAGTTCCATCTTGCCCCAGGAGGATATTAGAACACGTCAAGGATTGATGCTCAAAGCCATTTTCTAGTAAGTGCGATACTCCATTAAGCACCTCTTTCAGTTAGCGCTCTTTTTCTTGATGCGGTGATCCTGTTTTCGTACCTGTGCAAGTATAGAAGCCAGCTGTAGCTCAGACGGGAATATATCACAGGCGACCAGGTGTTCCAAAGTCAGAGGCAGGTCATCAACGGTAAAATATGTCATGCCATGGTCCTTGAAGATATCGTTTGCAGAGATAACGTTGGGATGATGGGTCTGCCGGAGTACCTGCAGCCATATATCTGCTTTTTTCTTGGAGAATGCACGGACAGCAATCACCTTAGAAGGGTCCTCTTCATGGACGGCAATTGATACGGGACCTGCAAGATCACAGGTAAAAAGATCGTTCAATGTGCCCCAGGGTGACTCTCTCCGGATAACGGGCGATTGAGCTGCCTGGCCCTCTCTTTGGGAGCTGCTCTGGGGAACGTCTTGTGCATAGCCAAGGAGTATATTCTTAGAATTTTCTTGCTTCTCCCCTTGCTTTGTCCCCTTGGTTGGTTTGTGGTTAACCTGACCTTGAGACTCCTGCGCGGACACTGACTTGGGCATTGGCCGTTTAGCCTGAAAAGACTCGGCGTAAAGTTGTGTGAGTGGCCGGTCGCCCATGGTATGTGATGCCTTCAACCAGAGAGATAAGTTCTTATAGGAAAACAAGATGATGAATGTTCCTGGATCCGTTTCGGATGGTGGCCTCCTTTATGGAAAAAAAATATGGTCTTTCAAAGAGGGATGCGCTGATGTGTGGGGAAATTGGCGCTTCAGCGCTTCAGCGCTCAACCAGCAACAACCCCAGTAAGGGTACAAGCAAGTACCACATAACGTCAACTCAGCTGAACATAAATAGGTCTGTCTCACCTCCGAGTATCGACAAAAAAGTCCGAAGTCACTTGTGAACTTAAAGCTATGGATTTGTTGACAGATACCGACCGGCGATTAACCGTAGAACGACTCCTAAAGTACCAAGGCACCGCCAAGATCGACCTCAACCAAATCTCTCTCCAGCCACTCATGAGCCGTGAGATTGACCAGAAGAACGTGGAACGATTACGTGATATCTTTGCTAAGGATGGGTGCCAGCGACTCGACATTCGAAATCACGTGACTGCTATTGTCTCTAAGCAGCACCTCGAAAGAGCATGCCGTGCCGCAGGACTGACCCCCGAAGAACTTAAAACTTGTCAACCGCAATACCCCCGCCTTCTTTTTCGTGGGCATCAAGTACAATGCCTCCATGGGCAGCATAGATTGAAAGCTGCCGAGGAAACCTTACCTCCCTCAGACCGGTGGTGGTCGGTGGATATATATCTGGATGGTCTGATTTCAAAAGCATAATTTCCCAATCCATACTAATCCTCTCTTGTAGATATAAGCCCTGACCTAAGGACTGCACTCATAGATGAATATTCAAACGAAAAGGCTCCAACTGATGGAGAAGTGTACCGGAAAATCCGCCAGTATCAGCATGAGGCGAACGCGCTCTTTCAAAATCGTTGGTGGACTCGACTATCGCCGAACAAAGCCAAGCGGCTGAGGCAGCTCACTTCCCCAGATAACACATATCTCTGTGCAGCATTTGACGCGTTACTTGCGATCCCTGGGCTCTGGAATGGGATGAGCCTTGGGCTATTAAACACAGTTCTGGCTTTAAAGTGTGATGAAGTTGGTCCCACTCATCGCTATCTGTAGGCTATCCCTGACTTATTGTCTTAGGAACTCATTCACTACTTGACACATGTGAAGAAGTTTTGGGCAACCCTTGTCAACCATGACCGCACTCGGATGGCCCTTATTGACCTCCACACCGTTGACACCCTGCAGCTTTACGCTCCTCGTGCGTCTAAAGTTGACCGGAAGACGGTGAAGGGGAAAATCCTCGGCGGGGAGGTCTTCTCCAACTTTAGCCGGTCCGAACGTGCGGCAATATGGGAGAAGATCCGGACCCATGAAATGTGCGACGGCATCATCCCATCCCTTCATACCTTTTTCCGCGATATTTCCTACCTGGAACTCTGTGCCAACGCTGTGAAACGGCTGGTTGTTTTAAACAAGCAACAGCTGACCTTGCGAAGCGCGCTAGTCCATAGCTTTCGATCTCGTCGCTCTAACGGGACTTGTATAATCCAGACATCGGAGACTTCTTTTCGACGACTGCCTGGATCTAGGGATGAACGTATATCCTCTGGTTATCGTCAAATCTGGATGTACGCGATGCGACACTACCCTGACATGGCCAAGGATCTTCAGTGCGGCCCAAAGGCTAATCCCACGCGGGCAAAGGCACGAGCGAGGGCGGACGAGGGAGTGATTCATGGAATGGCCACCCTTGCCAAGAAGCTAGGATTTCGTACTCCACCAATTAAGGCGATCTTACGACAATCACCTGACCAACAGATGGCCCGGGCTGCCCTGCTCAAAGCACGGAAGCCGGACCACTACCACTATGACCGTGAGACCTTCGAGTCTCTTGTCGAGCGGATTGCTGATTGTTTTGCGCTTGCTATCCCAAACGAGGCTGCACCGGTGGTGCATATCACTGGACGTGCAATTCAGCTAAAGGAGCGCTGTGGAGTGCCTCAGGAGCAAACCCAGCAACTAGACCGCCCACATATCTTCTTTGACACTCTACACTCGGCAACGGTGTCGCAAAGAAACCTCTCATCGCTGGAGGTGAGACGAAGCGTTTACTACGCCTTTTTCGGCAAGCCCTCCCCAACAACCTCCCCAAGTGCTTCTCTGGGGCAGCCATCGTCCAACGAGCCTCTTTCACCATTATTTATCCCCAGCGATGTTCTGATGTCAGAGTCGGAACCGGCCTACGACAATGTGTCGAGAAACGACTTCGATGAGGCGTCATTCCATAGCCGTCAGGATCGTTCGGAAACTCCTGAAGAACAACATCAGAGGCAAGGAGATCGATGGCATCGACACCAAGAAAGACAGCCGGCGGTGGAGCACGGCTCACCTCTTCCCCAAGAGCCTTCCATACCAAGTTCCATAAGAGCGGCGTCTACTATCTCTGAGGTCATGGATATGGATTGCGAAAGGTCTGACGCAGAAGATCAGATTCGACGGCAGATTGCCGAACAACCGCCGGTAGGTAGCAGGGGAATGGATTCTGACAGTGAGGAACCGGAGGATACGGAGATCGATGAAGATGACCTACGTAACCGATCAGAGGGTGGGAGTCCTGGGGTGGAGGGCACAGCCGCTGTGGTTCATTCGACATCAGGGGCGCCAGACGATACGGAGATGTCCAGCGTACCAGACGAGGGAGCAGATGCAGTGGACGGGGCCACGGACATGGGTTCATCCACGCTGACCCAATCCGAGCCGGTGGAAGATCGTGCTGGAATGCCAGCTACATTTTCACGCCAGTCGAGTGTTCAGTCACCAACAATTCCCACAGTGCGTAAGGATGCGATATGGAAACCATATGATGCTACACAGAAAGGCAACCGCAACGTGACAAAAAGATCGCTTGCCGCCCGAGGCCAGTCGATCGCACAGGGTGCTATGACCAACTCGGAGCCAAGCGCGGAGCAACGGCCTGGATTTGGTTCGTTGCAACCCATCGCAGAGCACACTGAGCTGGAAGTAACTCGGTCGGTCGACCAGCCGGATGGCCCGGAGCATATTTCTGGAGGACCATTACCAGCTGAAGCTCCGCAAGGAACAGTCGGAGAGCAAATTCCGCCCGGACCGGAGCTCATCACTGGAGCGGGTGGAGAATCACAAGAAGATCTAGTCGCCCGGGAGCGCGCAGATGCTCTTGATCAGCTACAAACACCTGGGGCTATCCCCCGGCCTGTGACTGAGCTTCCCCTTGACTTGCCGGATCTGATTACACGATTGCGAGACGAGGGAAGCCAGCTGGAGGATGAAAGTGTACCCCTTGCCAATCATCCAATGCAGGGATATCCGGAACCGGGGGCTGGAGTTGCTCCGCCACGTACTGAACCCCCCGTGCCCAGTGCGATGGAGAGCTCGCGTGGTAGTCCATGGGACGATGAGAATGCCCCACGGTCTCCCGGTCCGCGCCTGAGAACCAGTCCGCAACCACGCAAACCAGATGGCGTGCGGAAACTGCGGGCGAAGAACCGACCGACGCATCAAGATCTCAATCGGGCAGGAACTCGGGATGCCGCCATCGCAGATGAATTATGGAATAGTGATGACGGGGATGAAAACTCGGCCGGTGCTGCTGACGCGGGCCCCTCTCCACTGGACACCGAACGATACCCAGCCAATACACCCGATCCGGAACAGGCTCAACGTGAAGCGATTGACAGACAGGAGGAGGAGGATTCCCTGTTTGACACTCCGCTTCCGTTGGAAGAAACGGATTCCCAAGAGATGGAAGAGGCCCAGCGGCGGGTCACGATAACCTTCCAGGTCTACGAGCGAAGTCAATGGAGCACTACGGATGTGGTGTCTGTGAGCCCTGATCACCTTGCCGAGGCGCAGATTCTCGCCGACGAATATGCACGGGATCCCAACCGGAATGCACGTTTCTACGATGGCCAACTCCGCAAGGTTGCGGTCGATGAGTGCATTCGCGCTGCGATTGACGATGGTAGTTTCACCGTCCTGATGAGTTTTGGAAGGGACCTCGTGGTGACCCGGCAGCTTGTCGCGTCTATCGCACCACTTCGGACTGTTGGCGGTGATGAGCCAGCACGTGGGCAGGACCAACCTGGAAAGCGGATGAAAGCCAACGCCGGCACTGCGTTGACCGGACCCGTTCAAACGTCGGAGGATCCAGCTCCGACGGCGACCAGCGCATCCACCTCGAGTGTGAGCGAGCGATGCAACCGCAAAAAGCTGACGCCTCGGATCGTCGCTCGGCGGGCGCAGGATGTGCGGCCTCATCAGACAGAGGCAACTCCTCAGTCCGTAGCGATCGTGTTCCGGGTCCGAGAAGACGACGGGCGTTGGAAGACGGCGCACGAGGTGGTCGTTGATCGGTCGGATCCATGGCAGGTAGAACGGGTGGCGAGAAAGGAGGCGAGAAACCGGCAGGCAACGTTCTACGATAAGAATCTGCGGCTGCTCACGCCCGCACAATGCTTCAAGGCAGCCATTGAGGATGACACCAATACCATTTTTATGCACTTCGGGGGGGAGCTTGCGATGGACGAAGATACGATGAGGTCGATCGCACGCGACGTGGAATTGTGAGGCGAAGGATCTTCCTTCCTTAGTTACATTGGGGCGGTCTGGAGACGAGAAGGGCCGCAAATATGTAGGCAGACGACTGTCTGGGCCTGGCACCCGCCGTGGACGCCAGTTGGCGGTCCTCCATCTATGGTGGTCGTACGACCGGTGCCCTGTGATGAAGTCGGTCCGAAGCACTGGGTCTGGCGCTTCTAGTGCTATATCACTAGACCTTCGCACTCGATCTTACTGCACAGGTCATCGGTACCTGAGCCTACTACATTGGGCCTCTGCTCCACCCCCTCCGACCTTCTCGGTGATCAGACTATGAGCCTATGGCTGATTTTGGCTTAAAGCCCCGGTCCGATCTTTCACTGGGGCTTCCAGCCAGATCGGCCATATGGCTAGCGGCGTACGTCCCTCTGGGTCTCAGGTTTGCCGTTTCTGAGCTAGGAGTCTCACCGACTTGGGATAATTGGTCCTGGAATGAGCTGATTCCCAGGTCGGGTATACTCAGGAATGTAATTCCCGGGTCATGAGTTATGATTGGTGATACTTAGTGTCTAGCCTATGTATATACCTATACTTCGCAATTATGTTCACTTAAGGATTGCTTCCAGAGGCCAGCAGCTTTTGGAGGCCAACATACTCTTAATTTCAAGGACTAAACTACATCGTATTCGTTCCAATAAACATGCATCCTCCATCTAGTTGAAAGAAGAGTTCGTTCAGCTCTCAGTTAAACCGTAAGAGCGGGAAGCCGGGTGGTGATACGGTGAACTGATGCAAGGTGATGTACATTTTCACAATATAATCTCTTAAGAAACAGAGCAATTTCAGAGTAATTCGTTGGCCATCTGAGGCTCAAGCGCTGAAGCGGGGCGTCAGATGTTATCCAATAGAGATGCGTCATTTGCAGCCAGCGCCGCGCTGAAGGCGCTAGTGCTTCAGGGGCTTGGGCGTCCAATGACTCAGCGTTGCGCCCGTCAATGGTTCATACATGAAACGTTTCTTCTTGAATAATTCTCCAAGAGGAGCCTACAGTGGTGGCATCTTACGACAGCCTGTTTGTCCCATGTCCCAAAAAATCGTGCCATTCCCGCCTCTTTCCACCAAGACCATCGAGTTCCTACGGTGACCACGGATGATTGGCCTAATATCGAGATACTAACGGTTAATATATGTCCTCCGGCAGTGCGTCTTCCCAGGATGGTTGCCAAATTTGAACGAAACGCACGAAATCCACTTTTGGTCCCGGAAATTGTTGGTCTTGTCATCAACAATATTCACAATGTCCCGGACCTTCTGAATTGCGCTGGTGTGAACAGCATATGGAACGTGGCCGCCTTGAAGAAGCTCTACAAGGGCTCTCTAAACGACATGCAGTTCCGCACACCGGACATTGGGTCACTCAATTGCCTTTTTGCAGCATCGCGGAAGCAATTCGCCCGCAATATGAGTTTCGTGAAGCATCTTCTTCTTTCTCCTGAGATACCCGCCATTGATGAAGTCGAAGTGCCACATACTCGGCTTGTATGCTTAGAGAAATGTCGCGCAATGCGTCATCGTCAATACGCTGAGTACCTTCTGCAGCCGCGAGGAAGGGGTCTTTCAAGTCTCACAATCCCTTTCGAGATCAAGGATCAAGATTGGTCGCTGTTTCCTGACTTCCTGATCAACCCAACCATTGAGTTTTTGGCCATTGATAGTTACTACTGTAAACTGATCGTTAGCTCCCAAGAGCTCATCAAAGCCTCGGTAAGTCTGGTCTGGTTCGCAATGATCCTCTTCCTGAGAAATCATGCCTAACCCGAGCTGTATAAGTTCCCCAGCCTCAAGGCTCTCACGATATACCAATCAGGCAGCCGCCGCCAGGTGGATGAGCTTTGTCGGTTGCTAAGAAGTTGTGATTTGCAGTTTTTCTGCCTCGAGGAACTGTCTGGAACTGAAGGCCTAACTCAATCCGATACTGGGGAGCTCCTATCATGCCTTCAACAACAACAAAACCTCAAGGTAATGGCGCTGAACGTCCGCCATTGTGGACCCCGTCTTGGGAAACAGGGAATTCCATGGCCAAACCTGAAGGCCTTGTACATTCGAGAGGGGGAGGAAGACTGGTTGGATCAATTACCAGAATTCGAGAAACTTCAAATCCTCAGCTTGGAAAATATTGGGCCGGAAATACGCTTCATCGACCATAGTATAATTGAGAATATAGCATCATGCCGACATCTACAAGTTCTCAATCTGCACTTCGGTGAGTTTCGCGACGAAGGAGAACTCATCCAGATCGCACGATGCTGCCCGCTTTTACGAAAATTTAGCGTCGGGTGCATTGACTTTAGGGCAGACCCAACGTTAGGGGAAGACCTGCTGCTAGGTCTGTTGCCTGCTCTGCCTCACTTGGAGTTTCTCGCTCTGGGAGTGAAGTTCCAGATGCCCGGTGCACTGCTTCAAGATATATCACGTCACTGCCCACGACTGACAGTGCTTGATCTGTCTATGACTCAATTATGTATCTCTCTCGCAGTGATAACAGAACTGCATCCGCTCTGGCGGTTGGAAAGCATGCACTTTGCGAGAATCTATTTTGAGAACCCACGACACTTGATGCAACGGGACAAACTCCAGAGCGTTGCAACGGAGTGGCGCAGGACATTCCCGAAGCTTCGAGGAATACCATGCCCAGGGGACCTCTACTCCCAGTCTATGCAAGAAGATGAGTTAGGTGAAGAAATACAAGGAGACAGCGCCGGTTTGAGCACTGACGAAGAGATGTCATCCACTGAGCCCAACCTTGACTGGGACGACTATGATTCTGACTGGTTTATTTTTCGGACGAAACTCTGGAAAGTTCTTGGTTATAGGAAAGACCTGCTTATTCATGATAAGATCCAGTATATGTGGCAAACTGATCTGGAAATTGAGATGGTTCGCTGGCCTATCGTGCCTTTGGCAGCGTTTTCCGATCCGTATCTCCACTCCACGACCACCAGCTGCCCCCGGTAACCGAGGAACAATTATCATGGGTTGCGCAATACGAGGTACCGATGGGCGAGACGACAGTTGGAGACCGATTCCTCGGGGTAAGGTGGGTCAGCGGAGTCATTCTTCGGGCTGGGTGGCGAAAAGAGCAAGGATGTGTTGTACCGCCCATTTGAAGTACTTTATGTATCCCACCCAGGTTCTCACGTTCGATCTCGGTCGTGCAGGGACTCTTCGCATGGGAGCGTTTGAATGCGCTGAAGTGGGGTATACGCTGTCAAGCCAATTGGAGTTAAGCGGCATCATGTGAGGCACTAGCGTTCCAGGCATGCAATACTTCGGCGGGCTCAAAACCAACTTCGCCCCAGTACAAACGTCAGCAGTTGTTCTTTATTTTCCGCTCTTTAGACTTACCTGCTGCTAAGCCTTTGAGTGACTATTGTCACAAGAAGCATGACTTCTCAGAAAAGGCCGGCCAGCCTATCATCAGAGGAAACCTATTTTGATGATCCGTCTGATGACGAGGTGGATAGTGAATGGGAGAAGATAGCACAAGACCCAGCCAAGTGAGTTGCATTTGAAAGAAGGTGTATTGAACGTGAGCTTACAAATGAGAAACGACCCTAGCACCAGAAGCCACTGTCGCTTCTGGGAATGTTGACCCTACTAAGTTAAATGGGGAACCTAATATCAGGTCTGCATTTCGCTTCAATGTCAAGGACCTTTCTCTTCGTTACTACGGTAAGTTTCGACAATCTGCAAAACCCTTTTCCAAATCCACAAGGCTTAGAACCGAACAAGTACTACCATGTGCCTTGCATGGAGCATATATTTCCCGAGCTAGCTGCCCTAATAAACATTTTGCCTAACAAGAGCCAAGGTAAGAATTGCCTTACTTGGGAGATAGGCCAACGTCCTTTGTGTATTGTAAATACAACGACCTGAAGTGTACCCTTAGAAGCCACCATGTTTCTTCGATCGGTGTTCTCGAGCCTTTTTGCGCGACGGAAAGCCCTTGTTACAGTCTGTACACCAGCTATGGTAATCTGCATCGTGCTGACGAAGGCCTGTGCTGCTTGAGAAAGATCTGGCACAGTTGCTGCAATAAGAACGTTGACGAGGGCGAATAGGAACTCGGTATGTATAAGAACTTGAAATTGAGGGTGTCACGCGACTGACAATTTCATTTCCACTAAAGAAAAAGCTCATTCAGGCCATACTATTACTGATATTTCAGGGGAGGGTGGGCCCTACCAGGGTGTTGTTTTTGCTCCCCCAAAAAATCCCACAACCCCAGTGGCACTCTCCATCAACAAAGTACAAAAATCATACCCAAATTGTGGGTAGTCTTTTCGGATTTGTTGGAAATGCTGAGACTTTTTGAGAGTGGAAACGTGCTGGAAGGCAAACCGTGCTAGAACATTGCAGAGCTCTGAGCCACGTGGAAACTCAGGCCCATACACATCTCGCACAACATTGATGAATCCGACTTCATTCCACTCTTTTTCCATATTAGACTCCAATTTCTTCCTGGATACCTCTTTCAATGCATCTATCATATACTTGTCTGCAATAACGTAAACTTGAACATTAATGCGTGCACGTCTCCAGTGAGATGGAAGAGTGTCAATAGAGGTATCTTGATGCCCAGCATCAACTTTTGGCGATTCTCCCACTTGGTTTTCGTCCTTTCCACATAAGTCATTTAGGGTTTTGGGATGGTCATCGTAATCTGCACGATAAAGATAATCGAACATTTTGGAAGCGATGAAGGGATCATCGGAGATTGTAACAACGCGTGATCTGGTTTCCTTTTCATGATTTAAGATTAGAATTCAGTGCGGACTTTATATAAGCTGTGATAGTATTCACCTTCCAATCATGCTTCATGATCCCATCAAAGAATGCAGACTGTCGGCAAATAACACAGCAATGAAGATGGAAGCTTGAACGCTCGCATTTGATTTCAATATCCGAGAACTCTCCGGTTTCACGTAAGCTTTGAAGAACAGCGTACATTAGCTCAATTTATACAAGTTGATGTTGAGGAAAAGATCACTTTGACAGCAGGCCCAGAAGATGGTTAGTATCAACCGCCATAATTTACTGGAAGTTTAAGCCAAATTCGATTACTGATTCGAAGAGATGTGTGATGAGATAACCCTTCTGTCAGGTAATGAGTTGGGTGGAACTCGTCCAAACGTATTTGATCTACCGGATAAATTCTTTGTCCGCATCCACTCCCCCACGTTGGTTGAAACTACTAAATTGGTGGGCCATAACCCATGCCATGGGCGATCAGATCAACCTGGGAGAAAACGATTGTTCACTACATTATCCTTGTCGTATTATACAAGGTCTGCAGGCGCTTTTCATCCCCTAGCCAGCGACTCGCCAACGAAATATAAGCCTATTAAAGGCAAACATGAGTCCGCCGCGGCAAGATGTCTTGGTACACTGAATTTCATTTCATACCAGATGGAAAAATCAAACAATGAATTCCTGGACTTGATGGTTCCACTGCGGCGCTAAGCCTCTCACTGATGGAACGTTAAAGACAGTGGAGGAATGGAAGTTTAGTGCCGCAAGCTCATTTCCCCCTCCCCCCACCCCACTAGAGCTTGAAATTGGAATTTAACTGGTACATAGAGTGTACACGAACACTACTAATCTGAATGATCGCTGAGAACAAAAATGATCAGTAAAGTTGAAAGCTTTTTGAAGGTCAAAGCCTCTTTTTACTCATATCAGGCAGTCAATTTTTTATTTAGTCTCATAGCCCTACTTTGTCAACCTAATATAGCAAAACAAGCAACAGAAGTGTAGCTACGTGGCAGTTTTATTTTTGAGGCTTAGAAACGGTCAGGTGATCTCCATATCACAACGTTGTGTCACCAGAAGATAGAAAAAAACCATCAACCTAAAACTGGCCTCATTCTAGACCAGCATTTCATTTCAATTCTCAGATTTGTATCATTCAAGGAATAACTAAATCCTGGATCTTCTCTTGAAAGTGTGAACAGTATCTCTCCATTATCTTAAAATGGTGGTTTGTGTCTTCTTCCAACAGGGTTGTTGTAAATTTGGAGGTAAAGTTTACACCAAGCTCAACTGAACTGCAAACTGAGGTACCAGATCGCTGCAAATTCGAACATACTGTCTGTGAGAGTAATGAAAGATCAACTAGAACTTCTCAAGCTTTAGATCTAAACATCAGTAAGTGCATGTATGGTAACATTGATGATTTGAAATTTTGAATTCTAATATATCTCTAAATTGCTAGTTCCACATGATAGTACCGCGGTGAGACGGGAAACCCATATATTTGACCCAGATGGAGAGGTCACCATAATTCTGCAATGCCCGGAATATCATTTTGCACCTTGGAACGATCATGAGAAACCGCCTGCCGAGGAACCGCCTACTGAAGGGCCTCCTGCTGAAGAGCCTCCTGTTGAGAAAGAGCAACTTGAAGAGGTATGTATCAGTATTGTCCTTTATAACAAATGGGAAAAGGGTGGTAGTGAACAAACCAAGCTTACCATACCTAAATCCTTAAATAAGGAACAAGTGAAAACGCATGTTTTTCGTATCCAAGCATCGGCAAAACACTTAATCCTGGCCTCACCTGTGTTCCAGAAAGCACTTGCTGAGGGCTGGAAAGAAGGTTTACATCTACTTAAGAAGGGGGCAGTTGAGATCACTATCAACGGCTGGGATCTTGACGCTTTCTTAATTTTAATGAATATTTTTCACTCTCGGCCTCAAAACTTACCTCGGGAAATAAGTCTGGAACTGCTTGCTAAAGTTGCTATACTAGCAGACTACTACCAGTGCCAAACTTTAGTTCAATATTTCGCGGACAGGTGGATCGAAAGCTTGAGAGTTAATCTTCCCATGACATATTCCCGCGATTCGATGCTCTGGGTATGGGTGTCATGGGTCTTCAGGCAATCATATGAATTTGAAAAATGCACATTACTTGCTATCTCACAGAGTAGCAATCGCATAACAAATCTTGGGTTGCCAATTCCAGAACAAGTAATAGGTAAGGCCCATGAATTCTAATCTGGGAAAATATAATAACAATCGCCTAGACAAAATGAACATGCGCAGGTATGATGCAATTACTCTTGTACTTTCCTCACTCGCCAAGTTACGAGATGCTTTCCTAGACGGAAGCCGTGGGTGCACCTTTGAGTGTAGTTCCCTTATGTTCGGAGCTCTTACAAAGCAAATGCACTCAAATGGTCTACTCTATCCACAACCTGAAGCTCCCTTCATAGGTCTGAATTATAAGGGACTGGTAGAGACCGCGCGCGCCATAAAATCGCCCAAGTGGCCCTCCCACTACCGTGCCTGTGAATCCTCATCCTTTTCCTCCCTGATAGTTATACAGGAAAGTACGGTCAAAGGACTGGATTCATCTTTTTTCCCTGCGACTTTTTCCTATGCTTCGAAATTATGTTCTCTTAAGGATTGCTTGGAGTGGCCAGCATATTCTTAGTTTAAAGGACTAAAATACATTGTATTTATTTAAACAAACATGCCTTCTTCTAGATAAAATAAAAATCCGTTCAGCTCTCTGTTAAACAGTAAGAACTGGAAGCTGAGTAGTGATACTTTGAACTGATATGAGGTAATCTATATTGTTACAGTATACTCTCTTAGAAACAGAGGATGTTCAGAGTAATTCGTTGACTATCTGCGGGCCAAGCGCTGAAGCGGGGCGTCAGATATTATCCAATAGAAGATGGATGCGTAATGTGAAACCAGCCCCGCGCTGAAGACGCTAGTGCTATAGGGCTAAGGCGTCTAACACATCTTCGTTCAGAGAGAAGCCTATCAAGGTCTACGACCAACCAATCCACGTCTGGCCTTCAATGGTTCATGAAGCTGATATTTGTCCGTGAACAAAATGACTGGTAATCCATTATATAAAGCCAGTTGAACTTCGTTTAATTCCTCATCGGAGGGAATTTTGCCCCTCTCGGCTCCAATCATGACTCCATGCAACAACCGGTAAGGATGAATGAATTTTCTGGATGAGATATCACTAATAATAGTGCAGAGTGTTTCTGTCCAAGCTCCTGAAGTTCACCATCGGCACTGATTGTGAAGAAGTTATCATCCACAGTGATATACTCAAATCACATTCAACGCCCTGGTTCGATAGCGATGGCGGTAGTTTTACTGGTGATGAATCTATCATAATCGAGGACACAGATAAACATATCTTTAGTCTTGCCTGTCAGTACTTGTACACTGGAGACTACTCTATTACGATTCCCGGCGACACGCCACCTCCCGGCCTGACATTTGGTGGACGAGAAAAGGTGGAGCAGGCCCGTGTACTCGAAGGATGCCTCTTTCGAGACACAGAGACGGTGGAACAATTCGCGGACTACCTTGTACGGCGGATTCAGCCACGGCCCTCTGAGGGTTCGCAGGGTAGCTATAGTCCTACGATGGATTATACCGAAATGCTTCTCACCCATGCTCGCCTTCATGTTTTTGCCGCAAAATATGGACTAGAGGAGCTGCGTGACATCTGCCTCTTCAAGATGTTGCATCTCCTGCGTACTTTCCCAATATGCCAGGATCGCACTGGGGATATTGTTCGGTTGTTTGACTTTGCCCTCCGCGCGGGCACTGAGCGGTGCGAGAATCTAATCAGAATGCTGTGTCATTACGCTGCTTGGCACATCCGATTATTTCTGCACAACAGAGAGTTCGAGATACTTCTGCAGGAACAGCCCACTTTAGTTAAACTTTTACTTACTATAATGAGTGGTAGCCCTTAGTAATGAATTGGTCGAGACTTAATAAATGGGACTCCAGTTCCGTATGTCTATGCCAAGGCTTATAGAATCGGTGCGATTATCTCAAGGTCCAGACCATGCGTAACTAAATCATCGCGGAATCATCGCGGAACCAGCTGGGTTGTCTTAATCTAAGCAGCTTGCTTTACTTTACGGATTTAGGAGGGTTAGTCTTCAGAGCTCTCAATCTTCCAGAGGGTCTAAGCAGCAAGTCCGCATGGCCAAGCAGATCACGCCGGAACACAGAAGAACATTATCGGGCAAGATTCATTCAAATAATATGGCCTTCTTAGGACAGAATATACAAGTCCCCTCCATCCTCGCTTTAATTAGATTCCAGGGGAAGATATCCTCCATAGTTACCGGGATTGGACAAGGGTATCATTCATTTTGTTACGTCAGCGAGGTTACTGTATTAGATATTATACGGGTCCATGGGACTTCCATGCAAAACTAGTCAAACCACTCCAACCAAACACTCGTGGTACACCGTTTACCCCACCTTAGATAGGAATCGATGATATCATAATTCCCTAGTCGACGAATTCACGAAAGCCAATCTTAAACATTCACTTCATCATCCAAGCACTTCTAAGATTAAACAGCTACGTTATCCACTTGCCTAGAGGCCTGCTGAACCTTTCGCTTGCAGTATCCTACGATGTCGGCTGGAGAATCTGTTGGCGGCTTACTCGATCTGTCGTATGAAGATTTTACGAAAATGTATGCTAATGTACTGTATCTTAATTGTGGTTTATCGCTGATATGCTCTATCTAGTCAAATGCCTCTTTACCATGGCCCTACAGTTAAGATAAAGATCGGAGCCGCAACATACGACGTCTCCAAGTCGCTTATATGCAAACACTCGCCGTATTTTGCTGCAATGTTCAAGGGAAATTTTAAAGAAGGGGAAGACCAATCAGCAGTGCTAGAAGAGGTTGAAGGAGTTGTTTCAAATAGAAGCATTCAATTGCTTCTCCAGTGGTTATACCTTGGTCGGGTTATTCTTGGCAAAGAATCTCCAGCAGAGTGGATATCTGCTATGATTGAACTCGCAAGACTCGCAGACATGTTAAGCATTGATAGCATGGAGTCGCCGATAACTGAGTATATCCGATCAACTATTTTGGCCAATCCTACCCCAGACAATAGATGGTTTAGAGACCCCAATACAAATGTCCACCACATCACTCCTGGGAATATTGACGCAGCGAGTCATTTACCTAAGGAACACTCAGTTCGAATGCTACTTGTTAAAGCAGCAATAGAGGCGTACCTACGCTGCGATGACTTTAAGTTCTCCGAAGAACTCCGAAACGTACCAGATTTTGCAGCGGATATTCTAGGGGAGTTGAAAATAGCTCTTAAAAGCGTTACGCTCGAGCAGTATACACCTTGCCACTTCAAGGACCCTTTGAGCGGGGAAAAGCTACGCTTTCTTGGATAAACCATAGTATCTTCCATGTCCTGAAGCTCAGTGGTGCTACTAAATATCCGGGTTACACCAAAGGTGGAACAGCTGGTTCGTGGAAATTCTGCCTTCTCATCGCAACCCAACCCATCCACGTTGGACGAATACGGGGATAAGGAACGCGGTACAGAAGTATCTCTCAAATCAGATAACAAATCCAGGATGAGGTTTTATTCAATGCTCTTCATTTTACTACCCGTACCGAATCGTAGGGTATAGCACTATCGAGCTGGGATTACATATACTAGCTTCCAATGAAGGATTAGAGCTTATCTAGTATATGTAATGATGCTCTGCCAACATACACTAGCTCATTTTGTGGCAGCATGTGACAATAGTCTTATAACAAGTACATCATTAGCCTGGCAGCCTTACCAGGCGACATTTATGCCACGTAATGTATTAATAGTGCATGTATATTAAGCGGTGTCCTTTCCCCCTTTCCTTCAGTCGGAACCTGGTATGATTAACGAATCTGCGTGCCGCACCTACCGCCACTCCCTGGCGAACAAAGAAAACGGGGCTTTCCTTGCGTGTTTGTGCAATGCCAATGCAATGCCAATGCAATGCCAAAACAATTTTCTAACGATCCTTAGTACAGAGATAAATTCATTGGGAAGTATCCACATAGAATAATAAGTACTTTGTATAATGAGTTACAGGCTGTATACATTATTTTGCGTCATAGAACGGCCGGTACAACGCAAAACACAAACCCGTAGTAAGGGCTTTAAGAGGCATTTACAAAAGTGACTTACTGTATTTTATATTAGGGTGCCCAAAAGTATTCAAGTATATAATTTTTTGCGCCAGTATTGCAACCAGCTGTAGGAAATACTCTATACTCTCTTCCCAGCAGAATACCTTGATACAATCTAGGGAGACGTCAGAAATTGTCAACCGAGGACGTGAAAGCGGGAAGCAGGCCGAAAACTGGACTAGCGATTATTTAATGGGGTTTTCATTTCTACGGTCGCACCTGGACGAACCATTTAACCTCTCCATGGCTTATCTATTGTAAATATGCTCCTGTACAAAAGCATTGCCTCTAATATACTCAAATATCATGAGGGTAGTCCTCAAGGTATCTGACATTCAAGCGATGCTTGTCTACGGTGTGTCTCCGCCAACACATATCGTTGTCCACGGACTCATTGCAGTAGTTACAGTGACGATCGTCCAGATGCACGGCTCGGAAGTGTCGTAACAGACCCTTGTGGCGGGAGTACTGCTTGAGACGCCGATTGTCACATCCTGCGGGGTTTCCATAGCACTGAAAGCACGCTCGGGGCTTCGCGGCAGTTCGGATGTCTTCGCCAGCCTCCTGCAAGGCAATTTCATGCCGCGAGGGTGACGGGGTAAGAGGAGGGGATTCGGTTGGCGCAATAACTTCTTCGCTGGGGAGGCTATGCTTTCGAGGTTCTTTCACCGGAACGGTCCGTTTAGGCCGTCGACCTCGTCGCGGGCCACCTTCCAGCACAGCACAATAGAGTCGAACTGCTTCGGTAGCCTCATTTCGCCGCTGCCACTCTGCTTCCACTGACAAGGAGGTAGGCCAAGTCATGAGTTTACCCAGCAGGTAAATCTGCTGTGGAAGGAGTTGCTCTTCAATTTGGAGCTGCTCCTTAGCCTCTTCATCTAGAATAGCAGTGCCCGCTAGTTGCCGCTCAATATCAAGGACCGCCTGCTCCTCATCAAATTCCTCTCGCACACGTTGGCGGAGCGCATACAGGAGTCGATTTCGCGTGTTCGTGACTCCCCGTTTCAGTTTGTCAAGCTTATCGAGCTTCCGGCCAGTTATTTTCTGACTGCGCTGAAGCTTTTTGGAGAACGCATCCCGCTTCCGAGTAGCCTTCTGCAGCTCTGGATCGTGCTCCACCGTGGCCTTCTGCGCATCAGTGAGCTCTCGGGGCCGACGTCGGTCAATCCATCGTCCCATCCTAGTGACTGCCCTCATCATGGCCGAATCTGGCTTGAGTCCTCTCATCAACGCCTGCATATCAGTGTTGATTCGCCGAGGAAGGTAATGATTCAGGAACGTTCGGATGTCCGCGTGCTTCATGATCAAGTTCTGTTTGGCGTCGCTAACAAGACCTAGCAGTCCCAACCGCTCTGAATCAGTATTGTATGACGGAAGGACGCACAAGATGGCAAATACCACAACTTACCGCTTTCATTTAGAATAGTGCCGCCACCGTACCGGAACCGATGCGTGAACAATGACCACTTAAAGCCGGCGATCTCCCCAAAGATCTTGAGCTGTCGAGATAGGGTACTTTGGGAGATAGGCTGATCGCGATGTATCTGAATCTTGCCGCGGACGCTTTTGACCTTGCAGAATACATAATGTTTAGCCTTGTCCCGTTTCAATGGGACCTCCATCTGCTGGCGGCCATCCTCCACCCACAAGCGTCGCAGGTCCTCCATGGACTTTATTCCCGGAGCTCGAAATGCATCATCATGAAAGAGAATCCCCAGAAGGAACGTATGAGGGCTCAGCATCAACGACGGATCATAAATGATTTCGGGGAGGGGGAAGGTGTTACTGATAGGCCAGTCAGCAAGAAGACTTCTAACGGGAAGAGCTGCGGAAAGAAGCAGGAAGCTACATACGCTTGCGTCACACCCATGTATTTCTTTGCAAATTTATACTTGATCTCCAGAAGGATTCGGGGCGGTCCGCCATGAGGATCCCGTTGGATCGAACACTGGAGATGCTGGTACTGAAGACGACGCATAGCATTGATCCGATTTACCGTAAAGCATGCCATTAAAGGGTAGAGACATTGTTGCATGCGCTGAAGACCAAGATCGAACCGCTTCTCCATTGTACGTAGTGTTGTCTCCTGCAGGGGCACCACGTCTTCAATAAACATCGGGGTCTTTTCTTTTTCATCCGTATCTAAATCATGCTCCCTTGCAATCCTGCGAATACTCTGGGGCAGAAACAGGTTAGCAACTCGTCCAGAATCGGGGCTGAGATTGATCCCAACCTTTCTCATTCGCCTTCCGAGCGCATCGTCCATGGGTTCCCCGGTAACCTTTTCATAGTGACGGAGGAATGACTTCCAATCGGTATCCAAAGACTTGAATTTCTTTATACCCTTTAGCTTCCGGCCATTCTTCCCTCGCCGCAAACGCAGGCACCAACGGAGGAACAGAGTCAACTCCTTTTTCCTTGCATCGCGAAGAGCCGAAGCAGGGTTTGCCCACAAGGAATCTGGTAGCCCCCTGTATTTCTTATTCCTCTTTCGGCAATATCTGATCGTTTATTAGCTCGTCCCAAAAGCCTCGCCACGACCGTTGGGGTTCTAGGCCTACCGTTCCCATCTCTCGTCCATCCGCGTAATGTTTCTTCTGGTGCCGTCCGCGTAACCATCATCATCACTGTCTGATGATAACTCACCATCCGAGTCAATGTCGGGGTCCGTGTCAGAGTCACTGTCAAAGCCACTGCCACTGCAGTCATCGTCACTGGAGCTGGTGTTCGAAGCGTTGTTTCGTGTTGGGGCACCTGACAGAGCAGCAGGCTTTCGAGATTTCTTCTGGGAACATCGTTGCTCAGGACGTCGAGAATGGCGGGCGTCGACATTCATATCATCGCCACTAGAGCTGCAGTCTGAGTCCGTCGCTAGGCGGCTTAGAGAAGGAGACCCTTTCTCACTCTTGTGAGACTTTCCCCACGAAGGTCTCTGTATAGAGCGGTTCTGACGGGGTCGACCTTTGGCTCTGCAGCGAGTTGGAGGAGGCACATCGGAGTCTGTGACATCTGTGGCATCCGTCTGCAAATCCATGCCGGCCGCGTCGTCCGAGTCTAGACGGAAAGACGCATTGCTAGCGGTTTCGTCGTCGTCACTGCTACGGCCAGCGTAGGTACGGGGATGGCGAGCCATGACTCAGGGAAGAGGAACCGACAGACGGTCTGGAAAAAGGAGGAAATAGAAACAGGACGAGGCGCCTGTCAACGATGGAGAATGTGATAGAGAAATGGCTGAGGGACGAGACGAAAGAAACGAATGGACGGGCAGAAGCTCGTCATTTATGAAAAAAGGCGACCATAGGGAGTGTGCTTCACTCTGAGAGGGGGGTGCCATTTTCGGTCCCCATCCTCAGAGTCTGGCCTCGAAAGGCGGCAAAGAGTCTCGCTGCAGCTTCGTTCAGCAAGCAGCTTCAGCGGTCCTGTGTTAGGGCGGTACCAGTCACGTGCATTGAATCTGGTGCGTGGCTAAGCTGGGGTCGTTATGCGCACGGCGGCTGAGTCAGCGGTTGGGCCACGATGGCCGTTTTTGGCGTCATTTGCGGCCGAAAAAGGCAGGGTCTGCCCAAATCGAAATCCTAATAGAGTAGAAATTAAATATTTTTTTAAAAATTTATTAATATTTATAAAATTAATCTGTATTATTATTAAATTAGAGATTTTT